ATGTCATGCTTGATGGCTGTTACAGGAGGATTTTTCTTCGGTTATGATCTTGGAGTTTCGGGTATTTGTTGCTAGACTAGAATCATAAATAAGCACTTTTGAATTTGATCCTTGAGTTGGAAAAAAATAGAAAAATTGTGTTTTCATATTATTCATACTTTTTCTTATTGTTAAACATGTTATGTATATTCATGTTTTATCTTCGACTTGTGAAGGTGGAGAAACCTCCATGACACCATTTCTCAAGAAATTCTTCCCAAATGTGTATAGAAGGACGAAAAAGACAACAAGATTAGCAATTGCTTCAAGTTTGATAGCCAACTCTTTAACTTTATTTACCTCTTCACTCTACATAGCTGGTCTTTTTGCTTCCTTATTGGCATCGCCAGTCACTAGAGTCTTCAGACGAAAGCCATCAATCCTTGTGGGAGGAGTTGCCTCCCTAGCAGGTTCAGCCCGAGGAGGTGCAGCTTCTAACATTTACATGCTGATATTTGGTCGTGTCTTGCTTTGTGTAGGGCTTGGATTTACAATCCAGGTAACATAATCATTTCCCTCTATATTAGTTAGATTGCGTATCAATTTTTTTATCTTAATATCTAATTTTTTGTTTTTTTTACTTTGCAGTCAGTGCCACTATACATGTTTGAAATGGCACTACCCAGGCAGGCAAAAGGTACCCGTTTGCCCCTTAACTTTTCGACTTTTAGGGTTTTTGCCCTCTATATTACAATACATGGATTTTTACCCTCAATGTTTTCGAGTTTGAGGAAATGAGGCAAAATTTAACGCCGGAGCTCACGTGTAGCACGTGCACCGTTGGCCTCCGTCAAGTATGTGCATGTCAGCACCAACTCAGAATTTGTTGACAACCTAGCATGCCAACTTGGAACCCCACGAGCGGGAAGTCTACCTGCTGCCAAATTTTTTGTGAGCCCCACCGCTGACTAAAGGTTTGAAAAAAGAAAAAGAAAGACAAATGAATGCCAGGAAACCGTCCGACTTCGAGCATTGTGTCGAGAACAAAGAAAAGCTTCTATTAACCCCACAACCCAGAAAAGGACCACAGAAGGAAACAACTTTACTCCACCCACCAACCGAACAAATCTCCATTGAAGGAATAGAATAGAACATTCGAAAGGGACCACAAAGCACAGACGATTCTGACACTATTCTTGGTGCCATTGACA